GAGGTGCGGAGGAGTGCGACAGGGCGGGGGCCGCCTTGTGGACATCTTGTGCTCCTCCTCCTCCTCCTCCTCCTCCTCCTCCTCCTCCTCCTCCTCCTCCTCCTCCTCCTCCTCCCCCTCCTCCCCCTCCTCCTCGTGGGGACCTCGGGGGCCGTCATGTGGCGATCTTGAGAGTCGCCTGAACCGTCAATGCTGGAAGTGAGGATTCTAAGGAGGAGGAGGAGGAAGAGGAGGAGGAGGCCACGCTCCCGGGGCCAGGGGAAGAGCCACGTGGAGGAAATGCAAGGCTGACGAGAGCGCCCAGGGGAGCGTGGGAGAGCGGCCAGGGATCCCCGGCTCTTGCATGTCAGAAGACAGCACAGCAAAGCGGCGGCAGCGGCGGCGGCGGCAGCGGCGGCGGCGGCGGCGGCGGGGGCGGCGGCGTCACTCCGCGCCTACGGCACGGCGGCGAGGAGGGAGTAATTCGCAGGGAAGGATGGTGGAGAAGGAGGGGGAAAGGAAGGACGAGAAGGAGAAGTGCGACAGGGGACGGGGGACGATGGAGGAGGAGGAGGAAGAGGAGGAGGAGGAGGAGGAGGAGGAGGAGGAGGAGGAGGAGGAGGAGGAGGATGAGGAAGAGGTGATGAGGAGGAGGTGCACAGGAAGAGCATGCTGGAGGGGGAGGTTGGGAGGCTCAAGAGCATCCAGCTGGTCTTAGATTTGCCTGATCAGGCCAGTGCCCAGGCAGGGCCGCCCGAGCGTGCTTCAACCAGGGGGCTGCGCGAGCAGGTCGGAAGCGCCAGCAGAGGCCCCGAGGCAGGCACGATGCTGGCTGGCGTCCGCAGTGCTTCGGAGGTCGGCCGAGCGGGGAGGCGGCCGCGCGAAGGTATCACGCCCAGCGATACACCCTCTTCTCGAAGTTCGACGCGGGCGTCCAGCTGGACGAGGAGATGTGGTAGTCGAGGGGCCCGCGCCGGGGTGCCGCCAGGCCCCCCCCCGCCGAAAGCATCCGTCGACGGCCTCCTCCTTCCTCTCTCCATGCCGAGGCTGTGCTTGAAGCTTGTGGCCCGCTTGTGGCCATTGTGCGAACTGCGGTCGTGCCCTGCCTGCGCCCCCAGAATTGCGCAACGACTCGCATCGGATCTCGTCGTCCTCCAACTCGTCCTGCAGGGGTCCTGGTGCACACTGCACTCATCCCTGGGAGATCATCGGCGCTGCAGTGGGGATGGACTCGGTCTTCCATTGTTCTGGCTTGTGACGGGAGGCGTGCTCCCAGGGCGCGGGGCCGGCTGACTCTGTGACCCCAGAGGCGGCCGTGCTGCAGCATGCGCGCAGCAGGTGACGATGTCCACACGGGGTGCTCCAGAGGAGGCCTCGCCGCCGAGGGTCGAAGGAGTGGCCCCGTCTCTTCCGCAGCGGGAGGCGGCGGCCGGTCGGGAGGAGGGCGGCGGAAGTCCGCCGCGGCCCTGTCGGGGTGCGTGAGGGGCTCGTCTGCTCGAGTCGTCGTCTCCGTCAGGCGTCGTCTCCGTCGTGTCTTTTCCCTGTGCCCTCCTCAAGCTTGCCAGCGAGAGGATCCTAGCATGCAGCAATGCCGCAGTCGAGTCGAAGGGGAGCCCCCGTTCCCTTTGATCCCCCCCTCGCCAGGGGGGGGGAGGAGCGTCCGGGGGATGGTGCCAGGGGGGGTCCCGGGGTGGGTCCTAGGGGGGGGATCCCGGTCCCGGGGAGGGTCCTGGGGGGGGGCGGTCCAGGGGGCTCCCGGGTGGGTCCCATGGGGGGGTCCCGGGGGGGTAATTAGGGGGGGGGTCAGATACGCATCCCCCCCTGGAAGTTCCAGGGTCTTGCCCAAGAGTGCCCCAAGAGGCCCCTGAGATGGGCCAACAGGGTCCCCAATCGCCAAACATTCGGTCCAAAACGCATTCACGCTCAAGAAGCCTCAAAGAGCACTCCCGAGGGCTCCAAGAGGTCCAATTCATTTAATGTTTTGGTGATTTTGTTTAATTTTTGGGCGTTCTCGCCTTTTCTACTTCCCGCCGCTCCAATTGGTCCCAGGAAGCCCGAAGAGGCCCCAGAGAGGCTCCAAAGAGGCCCCACAATTTCTCCCCAGAGGCCCCCGAAAGCCGCCCGAAGAGACCCCAGCATTCCCGAGGACTCTGTCCCACGTCAGCGTCGTTGCCGTCGCCGCCGCCGCCGCCGTTGCCGTCGTCGTCGTCGTCGTCGTCGTCGTCGTCGTCGTCGTCGTCGTCGTCGTCGTCTTCGTCGTCGTCGTCATCGTCGTCTCCCTTAAAGGTTGGCGGCGCCGGCCGTAAGGCCTTCGCAATGAGATGGGAGCGGCTCCGCCGGCGAAAGTAAAAAAAACGCCCCAAGAGATGGCAACATTTTTGAATTCAGGGTTTCCGGAACCACAATGGGCTGGCAAGCGTTGGGGCAGCGCTCGCGGCGACACAAGGGAGGGAGGAGGGGGAGGAGGATGTTGAGCAGTTTTGCTTCTCATGTGTGTTCGTGTGTCGGCCGCCGAAGAAGCCACTCGTCGTTCTGGCGGGCGTGGCTCGAGACATTGGCTTGGATGGTGCTCCAGTGGGTTTCGGTGGAAGAAACGCCCAAACACGATTACTTCCAGCTGCCTGCGGCAAGTCTCGCAACGAGGGGGAGGGCTGAGATAAGATGGAATTGGGCTAACTAGGGTTGAAGCTGGTAGCGCCCAGTTCCATGATACGAGCGACATGTTGAGCGACGGTACCCCATTCCCGTATCCACCCAGGTCGCGTCGATGTACATTGTGCGTGTTGACTTCGTAGCAGCCAACGTACTCATGTACTTCAGCCACTGGCGTAAACGCGAACGTCGGTGGCTCTAGTGACACTGATGCTTGAGTTGGGGAGTCGGAGCCGGTGCTGGTGTCTGCGCTGGTGTCGCGGCTGGTGCCGGCGCTGGTGTCGGTGCTGGTGTCGGTATTGGTGTCGGTGCGGATGTCGACGCCCCCCTGGAGCGCCAGCGTCGGATGAGGTGTCGACGCTGGTGTCAGTGCTGGTGTCAATGATGGTGTCGATGCTGGTGTCGGTGATGGTGGCAATGCTGGCGTCGACGCTGTTGCATTGACCTCCTGGACCGTGAAACCGAGATGCTGACGTTGAACAGTCTCGCACTGAGATGTGGTGCGATTTGTTTTCTCCGTGCACCAATCCCGGCAATGGCCCTGGGCAAGGGGGGGCGGGCGAACAAATCCTGCCCCCCTCTGAATGTCATGGAATTGGTGCGTGCGTGCTGCTCTCACGGTGCGCTGTGCTGTCCCGGCCGAGTGGCCGATAGCATAACATCGGATGTTGCGAGGCCCGCCAGAATCCGTGTCTCAGAGTTGCTCTCCACACTGCGTGCGCCACGCCTGGATGCTTGCGAGCGCCGCTTGCGGTCATCGTCAGGACAATTAAATTGTCCTGACGATGACCGTACATCTAAATTAGATGTACTGGTAGGCGTCGTCGGCTCAAGAGTCGGCGAGCTGGTCGGCTCTGGCTTCGGCGAGCTGGCCGATGCGGGAGTCGGTGAGCGAGTCGGCATGGGAGTCGGCGAGTTGGTCCGTGCGGGAGTCGGAGAGCTGGTCGGCGCGGGAGTCGGCGATCTGGTTTGCGCGGGAGTCGACTAGCTGGACTGCGCGGGAGTCGGTGAGCTGGTCTGTGCGGCAGTCGGCGAGCTGATCGGCGAGGGAGTCGGCCAGCCCCTCGGCGCGGGAATCGGCCAGATGGTCGGTGCAGGAGTCGGCGAGCTAGTCGGCGCGGCAGTCGGCGATCTGGTCGGTGCAGGAGTCGGCGAGCTGGTCGGTGCGGGAGCTGGTGAGCTGAATGATGCGGGAGTCGGTGAACTGGTCGGCAAGGGGCACAACGAGCTGGTCGGCGCGGCAGTCGTCCCTGGATAGCGCTTTAGAGAGCTGGTCAACGCGAGAGTCGGCGATCTGGTCGGCGAGGGAGCCGGCGATGTGGTCGGTGCGGGAGTCGGTGAGCTGGTCGGCGCGGGAGACGACGAGCTGGTCGGCGCGGCAGTCGACGATCTGGTCGGTGCGGGAGTCGGCGAGCCAGTCGGTGCGGGAGTCGGTGAGCTGAACGATGCGGGGCGAGGGAGCCGGCGAGCTGGTCGGCGCGGCAGTCGCCTCTGGATAGCGCCTTCGAGAGTTGGTCAAGGCGGGAGTCGGCGATCTGGTCGGCGCGGGACCTTGCGAGGTGGTCAGTGCGGGAATCGGTGTCGGCGCGGGAGTCGGTGAGCAGCGTCGTGAATACATGGTCTGAGTCGAGCCTTGTTGCGAGGCTCTGCGTCTGTTGTGCGCGTGCATGTGCCAGGCTCTCCCGCCGGGCGGGCCGCTGTGGCTCTGCGAGCCACCAGCGCCCACTGGTCGTCCTCTGGCCCGCCCCCTCCTGGTTTCTCCCTCTCCCGTTCTTCCTCCTGGCGCTGTTCTTTTTGCGGCGTCTGGTTGTATACTCAGGAACTCTGGTCGTTGACCAGGGGCGTTTCGGCCCTGCTCGCAGGACTGCTTGTCTACTTTTGTGTGCACTGCGTTGTGCTGCCTGCGTGTCCGTCCGTCCCTCCTCTTCCTCCTCCTCCTCCTCCTCCTCCTCCTCCTCCTCCTCCTCCCCCTCTTCCTCCCTAGGCTACCCAGATAAGTAGTCTTTAGCTGGTGTCCTCCAGTGGCCGACATTTTTTGTCCGCAGGAGCCGCCGCAGCTCGCTCGGTGCTTCCGCTTGCCTGCTGCTGTTGTTGTTCCTGTTATTATTGTTATTATTATTATTATTATTATTATTATTATTATTAGTATTATTATCATTATTATTATTCTTATTATTATTATCATTATTATTCTTATTATTCTTCTTATTATTATCCTCCCCTCGCTCCCCTTCCTCGCCCTCTCGTTTTCTTCACCAGTGGAGCATTGCGTTTCTAAGGAGATTTCGTATCGCACCGGCTACGTGGCGGCAGTGGACTGGTTCACTTCAAGCATGCATGGTTCGAGATTTGGCCGGTTGGGGGAAACATAGGGTGTAAGCTGGAGCTGGGCTGCAGCTTGGGATACGTTGGAGCTGGAGCGAAGCTGGAGCTGGGGTTGTTCCTATATTTTTGGCAGGAGTGTTCATCTTGAGGCCAGCGCTTCTCTCGTTCATGCGCGTGCAGCCGCATCTGTGCATACCTGGTGTTTTGTATACTGCCCCCGCTCGGGGTACCTTCATTTTCGTCTCCCGTTGCTAGTTACTGTTTGTGCTGGTTGTCTGTTTGCTGCGCATTTCCATGATGTCCTCCGCCTGGCCTGTGGTGCGTGGTTTTCAGTTTCGGTTTTGGGGCAGGCCTTCCCATCTCTTCCGCATCCTCCCCTCTTGCTTGTCCTGGGCGCTGGGTCTGCCGACCGTCTGTCTCGTTTTCGTGCAAGTCGTCGGCTCTGGCTCGTCATTGCCCCGTTTTGGCCACTTCGAGGCGAGAGGCTGAGCACCGTGGAAGGAGCTCACAGTCAAACCCAGTGGTGGCGATGCTGGTGCTTCCTCCATGCTCCCCTTGCGTCCTCATCTGTTCGGCCCTGTGCATGCTTTCCTGCCGCCGCCGCTGCCAAGGGTCTTGCACGCTTCCCTTGCATCCTTGTGTGGTTTCCTTCCTCAGTGACCCACGAGATCTCGGCCCCTCGCCAAGTGTGGCGGGGATGCTATGGCCATCGCGCTCAGAGAAGCACGGGCAGGGAGAGCAGTGACCGTGAGCAGTACAGCCGAAACCGGTAGTAAGCATGGGCATCCTTCCCCAGGGTACCCTTACATTTTTGCCTCCTCGATCCATCCTCAGCCGCTTTCGATTGCCAGCCCCGTTCAAGAAGCTTCGATGTGGGTGTCCAAGGGGCTTGCGTCCTTATCGCACACTCTTATCACCAGTTTCAGATGTAGCGGCATGGAGAGCAGCGAACAGGACACCCAAACTAAACACCAGCATCGATCTTGGCCGGGCCGATCCTGTACAGTTGGCGCCCCGCTGCGAGCTGGGATGGCGGCGGAGGCCTAACGGGAGCAGAAAAGTATGGAGGCGTTCCGGGTGCGCAGAAGAAACATCCGGCTTTCTCGAGCCCATTGCCCGGGCACAAGCTCTGCGAGTTGCGCGCCAAGGCGAGGAGGGGACGCGCGCGGATGTTCACAGGCATCGTTGCCATGGCAGGGCTCTTGCACAGCAGCCTCTTCGGCCCTTTCTCTGTTTGTTTTGTTCGCCAGCTCCTGTAGGTGCTTCGGGCCCAAGTGTTTTGTATCTTGTCCTTCAGCCCGTACTGTTGTGGTTGACTATTCACGGTTTCGCATTGCATAGGTGCGCCATTATTGGCATGAGTGTCTTGCTTCTGTGATCGTCGTTGGACGCTTGCGGTGTTCTTCCTCCTCTCCCTCCCCCTCCTTCCTTTCCTTATCCTCTGCTCGTTCTCTTCCTATTCCTCTTCATTTCCTCTTCATGTCCTTATTCTTCTCACTTTCCTTCTCGTCGCCTCCAGCTCGGCGACCCTATCGACTTTTATCTTATTCAGAATACGTGCTGTCGCTTGTAACCGTCGCGCAGTCCGCTTCGCGGTTGGGGCGACGGGCGATCAATTTTGCATCCAGAGTGAGTGCTGCCATGTGGTAGGGGGCGGAGGAGGATGAGTGGAAGGAGGCGAAGTTGGAACAGGAGGAAGAGGATAGAAAAGACATCCATGTACCCACCCGCACTCGGCTGCCTATGGCTTGCCACGATTGGGCAGCAGGAGCTGCTCAGACGTGCCCCACGACGGCGCCGCCATCATGAACGGAGAATTAAAGCGCTCCTGTGCTCGCGTTCTCCCCAGCTGGCAGAAGATGCTCGAGTGTCTGTTCGAAGCGGGCAGTGTTGGGGTCGAAGCTGAGCTGACGTGGAGGTGGGCGTCGAGGCTGACGAGATTGCGAAATGTCTGCGAGGGCCGTCCATTACTTTCAGAAGATGCTGACGCTATCGCTGGATTGGAAGCTTAGGCACGACTGGCAATCGAGCGGTGCGCTTCACTTTTCCCCTCTTCCTCTCCGTTAAAGCCTACTGCTGCAAAATATTGCCTTCGGCTCATCCCGCCATCGTGCCTGAGTTGTGGGTCAGAGTTCTCAGGGGTGCTTCTTGGGGTCTCTTCGGAGCGCTCTCCGGGAGCCCGTTGGGGGCAGTTTTTGGCCTCTCGGGAACTTCTCGGGGGCCTCTTGGGGCCTCTCGGGGCCTCTTCGGGGCCTCTTGGGGCCTCTTGGGGACCTCTTGGGGCCTCCTGGGGACCTCTTGGGGCCTCTTGGGGGCCCCTCAGGGCCGAGGGCTCGAAATGTCCGCTCGGTTTCCCCATCTGGACCCCCTCTTGGAGCAGTCTTTGGACCCTCTTGGGCCGTCTTGGGCGCCTTTTTGGCCGTCTTGTGGCCCTCTTGGGCCGTCTCGGGATCCTCTTCGGGGCCTCTGGGGCCGTCTTGAGGCGGTCTTGGGGACTGCCTAGGCAGTCTTGGAGCGCGAAGCCGAAAAGGCGAGAATGGCCAAATCCTTCAACAACCGATGAGACATCAATGATTTTGGCCTCTTGGGGCCCTCTTGGGAGGCCTCTTGCTAGCCTCTTGGGGCCGCTTGTATGCTTTCTGGGCCGTCTTGGGGCCATCTTGGGCGTCTTCGGGCGATGTTTGGTTGGGCCGTCATGAGAGCCCCTTAAAGCCATTTTGGCCCGTCTTGGGACCCTCTTGGGCCGGAGAAGGCCACACCAGAAGATGCGATAGGCCGCAGCAGACCTCAGGAGGTTGGGCAATCTGGGCTCTGGGCCCCCTCGAAGACTGCGCAGGATTGAGGACTCAGGCTTAAGGGATTGGGCACGGTGGCAGACAGGTGCAAATCATCGCTCGCAGCCCACGACGCGCCCCTCGCCCGCGACCTGCCGCCAGACCCCTCTTCCTCAGGCTGGCTGCGCCGACGGCCCCTGGCCTGGCTGGACCAGCAGTCTGGTGCCGTCATGCGATTTAGGTCTTCGGGCCGATTTCTCAGATCGTACCAACTTGCCTGGCTGTCCGTACGAATATTCACATCCAGGCTTGCGTGTTAAAATATCCCTCGGAGTATAACGAGCCTCGAAGAGCCTGGCTCAGCTTGAGTATGAGTTGAGGGGTACCGTATACACTGCATATGTAATATCAGATGACCCTACGACGTACCCAACACTTTTTCTACACGCGGCGTTTATATTCAGGACCAATCAATGCTGACTGGCACTCTGAAGGACCCGCAGTGCGCAAGAAGAGCACTCAGGAGTGAAATCAGAAGAGAGCATCAATAAGAGGAGCAGCAAACATACAGCATGGAAACACAAGGGCGTTGAAATAATCGCACAAGCGGGGGCGGCGAGGGCTAAACCAGAATATCGGTTAAACTCAGCAACGCGCTGCGCTGAAAGAGGCACATGCATGATGTGCATAACGGGGGCGGCGGAGATTTACCCAAAAGTGGACACAAAAGGGCGCGGCAGCGAACCCAAAGAAAAGAGCCCAAAAGTGGAAGCAAAAGGGGCTCCGCTGGGCCTCCCAGGAGCCCACGAAAGTGGCGACAGTTGCGCAGATCGCAAGCCCCCCAGGGGGCGGCGAGGTACCGAGGTGATCCGCGTGGGACGAACCTCCGCTGGGCCTCCCAGGAGCCCACGACGGTGGCGACAGTTGCGCAGATCGCAAGCCCACCAGGGGGCGGCGAGGTACAGAGGTGATCCGCGTGGGACGAACCTCCGGTGGGCCTCCCGGTAGCCCACGAAAGTGGCGACAGTTGCGCAGATCGCAAGCCCCCCAGGGGGCGGCGAGGTACAGAGGTGATCCGCGTGGGACGAACCTCCGCTGGGCCTCCCGGTAGCCCACGAAAGTGGCGACAGTTGCGCAGACTGCAAGCCCCCCATGGGGGCGGCGAGGTACCGAGGCGATCCGCGTGGGACGTACCTCCGCTGGGCTTCCCAGCAGCCCACGAAAGTGGCGACAGCTGCGCAGATCGCAAGCCCCCCAGGGGGCGGCGAGGTACCGAGGTGATCCGCGTGGGACGAACCTCCGCTGGGCCTCCCAGGAGCCCACGACGGTGGCGACAGTTGCGCAGATCGCAAGCCCCCCAGGGGGCGGCGAGGTACCGAGGCGATCCGCGTGGGACGAACCTCCGCTGGGCCTCCCGGTAGCCCACGAAAGTGGCGACAGTTGCGCAGATCGCAAGCTTCCCAGGGGGCGGCGAGGTACCGAGGTGATCCGCGTTGGACGTACCTCCGGTGGGCCTCCCGGTAGCCCACGAAAGTGGCGACAGCTGCGCAGACCGCAAGCCCCCCATGGGGGCGGCGAGGTACCGAGGTGATCCGCGTGGGACGTACCTCCGCTGGGCTTCCCAGCAGCCCACGAAAGTGGCGACAGCTGCGCAGATGGCAAGCCCCCCCCCCGGGGGCGGCGAGGTACCGAGGTGATCGCGTGGGACGAACCTCCGCTGGGCCTCCCAGGAGCCCACGAAAGTGGCAGCAGTTGCGCAGATCGCAAGCCCCCCAGGGGGCGGCGAGGTACCGAGGCGATCCGCGTGGGACGTACCTCCGCTGGGCTTCCCAGCAGCCCGCGAAAGTGGCGACAGTTGCGCAGATGGCAAGCCCCCCAGGGGGCGGCGAGGTACAGAGGTGATCCGCGTGGGACGAACCTCCGCTGGGCCTCCCAGGAGCCCACGAAAGTGGCAGCAGTTGCGCAGATCGCAAGCCCCCCAGGGGGCGGCGAGGTACCGAGGCGATCCGCGTGGGACGAACCTCCGCTGGGCTTCCCAGCAGCCCGCGAAAGTGGCGACAGTTGCGCAGATGGCAAGCCCCCCAGGGGGCGGCGAGGTACAGAGGTGATCCGCGTGGGACGTACCTCCGCTGGGCTTCCCAGCAGCCCGCGAAAGTGGCAGCAGCTGCGCGGATGGCAAGCCCCCCAGGGGGCGGCGAGGTACAGAGGTGATCCGCGTGGGACGAACCTCCGCTGGGCCTCCCAGGAGCCCACGAAAGTGGCATCAGTTGCGCAGACCGCAAGCTCCCGAGGGGGCGGCGAGGTACCGAGGTGATCCGCGTGGGACGAACCTCCGTTGGGCCCCCACAGCGCCAGAGCGGACTGCCGAGCCCCGGCGCCAGCGCGACCGACAGCAGCCGTCGTCGTCGTCGTCGCCGTCGTCGTCGCCGTCGTCGTCGTCGCCGTCGTCGTCGTCGTCGCCGTCGCCGTCGTCGTCGTCGTCGTCGTCGTCGTCGTCGTCGTCGTAATCCTCATCCTTTGTCCTCATCCTCCTCCTCGTCGTCGTCGTCGTCCTCCTCCTCCTCCTCCTCTTCCGCCTCCTCCTCCGGCTCCTCCTCCTCCTCCTCCTCCTCCTGCTTCTCCTTCCCAGGCATGAAGGTCAGATGCGGCGCCCGATTCGGTGAGATGACAAATAGTCAGCACAATGGGAAGGGATGGGAGGGAAGGGTAGGATGTCAGATGTGGCGCGAGCGTACCTAGCTTTTCGTTTTCCCCTTTCCCCTTTGCCTCTCCCCACCTCCCTGTGCCCTCCCCTCGTCCCCCTCCCGTCCGGGCCCCCTCGGCCTACGCGCCCGCGATCGTGCAAAATGCCCGCATTAAGATCGCGCACGGGGCCCCGAATACTCCACTTACGATTTGTCATGGGGCCCATTAGGAAATCAGATCCCTGTGCGTGCATGGTGGGCAAAAAACGTCAGCAGTGATACCAATCATTAAAACAGAGAAACTAGCGGCCGTGAAACAATTATTCGAATTAACGATATTATGTTCTTGGCGAGTGTCAACGTATATCACCAGCGTACTATCTCTATTACTCGTGTTGTTATTGCGCAATGATGGGGCCTCGACCCCCCCCCCCAGAATGGAGGCACTGCCCCACTTGGATGCAGTACGCACTCAACGCTGGACTAAACTAATTTTCCCTGCCCCAGTAGCCTCATAACTGTATCACCACCCTCATCGCCATTTTATGGAATGATGTGTTGATGAGAAAAGTATGTGGGAAAAGGAAGGTGAGAAGGACTCGGGGCCTCGTGGGAACCTCTCGGGACCATTCGCCCGGGGCCTCGAAAAGGACCCCTTCGGGCGACGTGTATGCATTCCAGGCTTGCGGAATCGACGCATCGTCTCACTTGGAAGCGTAGTGTTGTGGAGGGGCAAGCCACGTACTGTGGCGGATATCGCAGAATGGTTTTGAAATGGTTTTGGAATGGTTTTGAAATGGTTCGAGCGAATGGTTTCGAAATGGTGCTCGACATGGTCCTTGAAATACTTGCCTTCCAGAACATGGTATCGGAAATGGTGGCCGTAATGGGTGCCTCGGAAACACATGGTTTTGGAATGGGAGCGAAATGGGGCCATTCGTGACATATACGTAAATCATCATATTGAAAATGAAGTGCGCGCGGAGCTGTGCGATATTTTATGTTGCGTGTTGGAGTATGATCTAGGGCCATCCTATCTTTTCTCGTCCATCTCACCCCTCCCACCCCTCCTCCACCCCCCCCCATCGTCTTCTCCCTCTTCCTCTGCCCCACATCCGCCTCCTCCTCTGACAGCTCTCTGGCCTGCTCCTCTGGCTCGTTCCCCCCGTCCGCACGATAGGTCCTAGTCCTCTGCGCTTCTGCCGCCGTCACCGCAACCATTTTGGCTCAAACACTACGCGCGGGTCATTGTGATATTTCAACACTTCCGTGTATTATGAGTGAGTGGGATGATATCCTGGGTTCGCCTCGCCGAGGCGGCGCTGAGTACGATGAGATTTTGGGTCTTGGTTTGTCTGAGGGCGACGCGTTCGAACGCTCTCTCATCCAAGGGGAATGGGAGGACATCTTCGCCAGCGGTGACGACGGCGACCACGCCGATCAGATGCCGTCTGCCTCGGGGCCTGACGCGGTCGTGGCCGTGGACCCCGCTGTCGAGGAAGAGGCCCACTGCGAACCGCCCGTCTTGGAGATGATTGCTGGGCCGCTCGGCGCGCCGGAAGCAGCAGTAGCTCTCGGCGAACGTGTTGTGCATTTCTTTCGCGCTGTGTGTCGCGGCGAGAGCAGTCAGGGCCACTTCGATGGAAATGCTGATTTTGTTGACTTCGTGAACGCCCAGGTTGATCCAGAGAAGAAGGGTTTTCATCTTGCTTCGCAAGTCGCCGAGGCTTCCACTGCAGGGGTAGATACGAAACATATCAATCGGGCCCGCATTGTGCTATCCAGCGCTTGCTACGCTGGCTCAGAGTTTCAATTGGAGACTATGTTGAGGCGCCTTCTTGACGAGGTCGAGTCCAAGGGCGGCCGCGGCGAGGTGTTGTACCACAGGCGCCGTTACGACGCAGTTCGCCAGGGTAATTGCAGGCAGCCCGCTCGATCTGGGCGAAGAAGAGAGGTCGTTGGTGGGCGCCGCGGCTCTCGCAGACGCCGACGAGGGTGCGCTCATGGAGTTCATGGTTGGTCAGCTGGAGCAGGACATCCACAATGGCATTGCATGCAAGATCGTTCAGAGCGAGGTTACCATGGGCGCGCTATTCAGAATAGGTCTTCTTGATTTCGTTTATTTGTCATTGGAGTTGCCTCGGCCTTTGATGTGCATCGAGCGCTGCATCGGGGAGTGCTTCGCAGAGTTCATACGGTTTGATACAGTTCTAGTTCCTTCTTCTACCAGGTTCATGCGCCAGCAGCGCATGAGCATCACAGATGGAGACGGTGCGATCGATCGAGCAGAGCGTTTCCTGTCCAATTCAAGGGTCGACGACGCAACCATGCCCGTTCATACATATAGAAGCAGATGTGTCGTGAATAGGATCTCTCAGGTCATGTCTCGCTCTGCAGCTTTTGTCTCGGCTTGGATTACAGGTTGCATTCGTTGGGCGCTATCGCTCCGAGGGCCTGGTCAGTTCAACGTGTTCCTGGGGTGCGTCTCGGAGCGATTAGGGAGAACGCTGCGATATAGGTACGAGGAAGATGCCGTCGGCCCTGGCGCTGCTGCTGATAGGCACCGAGAGCGTCTCTGGAATCTATTCTTCGACCAGTCGAGTACGAGGTCAAAGATCTACAGACGCCGCAGGTGGATCGTGAGCACGCTCGCGAACGGCAACTTGTTCAAACGTGGGGTTTTTGAGCACTATTGCCGCGCAGGCTGTTGCAAGTCGCGGCTTCACTGTCTATTGAAATTGCGGCGCTGGTTCGTGAAGGCCGTATTCGGAAGTCTCCCTCCCATATTCCCCAGAGGGCGGTGGACGAATGCCATGGCGGCTGTGGATGGTTGGTTGCTGCCTGAGTCTATCCATGGTCTTGCGTCTGATTCATATCGGGATTTCTACGTGAAGGTCACTGGCCGCCCAGCGCCGCCCGCCGACGTCGACGCAGACATTTGCGCGGAGGAGCTGCCAGTGCACCCAGCTGCCGCCGATGCCGGTGACGCCGAAGGTGGCCGAGCCCCTGCCGATGAACGTGGCCGCGGGGCTGCTGACCGAGGCGATGGTGGCAATGCTGGCATCCCCAGCGACCCGAAGGATCGCGGGCGAAACATGCGCTCGGATGGTCGTTTCTGGGGTAGGTTTGAAATTGTTTTTTGGTTGGCAACGCTTTGCGGGTCGGGGGTTCGTGGTCGGGGGGGGGGGGTCCAGGGCAGCCCTGGTGATCCGAGGTGGAAAGAAACGGTTCGACCATGCGTGGATTCGTGTTTCGCCCGTGCGCAAGGAAGCTTTAAAGGCGTTGCAGCGCGAGTACCGTACATCCGCAGTAACTTTGATATCCTGGGGCGCGGCTGGGCCCGTGGGTTACGTCGTGAGGTTGTGCACTGGGCCTGTCTGGAAGTTGATGCACGCGCAATTGAGACTGGCAGGGCGCAAGTGGGACAGGCGCCAGTCGGTGCGCGCCGCCCAGGGACAGCGCAGGTTGTATCGTGCCGATGTCGGTGCAAGTCGGCAAATGGAGACTGTTGCGCTGGGGGAGATTCGCGGGCTCTTCACGACGTCCGATATATGGAACATTATCCCGCCATCCCCCCGCACGTGCGAGGTGCGATCGCTGGCTTTCAAGTACTTGAGCGCATGCGGGTGCATGGTGAGTGAGAGGATATATGACGTGCGTGGTCGAGCGGATGTCCAAGTCTTCGCCCGCTTGAACAGCGTGGACGAGTTCAGGGATTGGTACGCACGGCTTCCATGCAGACATGCTGCAGGCTCGTTCGTGTCTTCGTGGTTCGCCTACTGGGAAGGCACTGAGGATGGCCCCTTTGGGCCTGCTGCATTCGCTGACATGTGGGGCTTGAAGTTGGCTTTCCAGGAAGAGACTGCCGCAATTGAAGATGGGCATGCTGCTATTCGACGGGATGTCAATCTGCTGAGCACTCAGACCACGTCGCCTCAGATCCACACCGTGAGCGCCAAGCACATTGCCCGCGCAGTTCGAAGACTCGGTAGACTTGTACCGCGCGGTCTCGATCGCGGCTTGGCTGCAGGGGCCACGGGCGCCGAGCAAGCTGACGACGAGGCCCTTGAGCAGCCTCGCAAACGCATGAAGAGGGGGAGCTGGACGTTTCGCGCTTTCCTTTCTGAGCAGACTCGCGGGACCAAGGGCGGCTGCGCCGCGCCTGGCCGTGGCCAGCAGTTCAGGGAGACCAGCGCCTCCGGGCGGGAGCGGCTCCACAGGAAGGGCAAGGATGCCGAGGCCGCTTGGTCGGCAGGAGGTCGAGGTTTCGGCATGAACAACAGAGACATTGACATGGCGTTGCTTCGGCGACGGAGGCTTGAACAACAGAAGCGCTTGTCCGACGAGCTCGTGGCCTCGGGCGTGCCCGCGTTGGAGCCTTCTACTAACGAGGTCGAGGAGCTCGGGGTCTTGCCCTTCACCGAGTGGGGCCAGACGCTGGCGCAGGTCAGCAAGGCTGAGGCTTGGAGGAACAGGAAGACTGCTCAACTCGATCGATTGGTCGATCAGGCCCTTGTCGCCTTCAGCGAGGGCGGGGTGGGCGAGTCCATGGACTTCTTGAAGAAGGCGGTCGAGTCCACCTGCCCGCACTACGGGCCCGCCCCCAGCACGACTGCCGCCGCGCTAGGCGGGTCGATCAGCCACCACGCTGCTCCTGGGGCATTCGTAACCGAGGCGTCGCGCGGCGTCGCTGCGGCTTCGTTGACGAATCCCAGAGCCCAGAAGATGAACCGACACCTCTTCGAACACTTCCGCAAAGTGCATCGCCCAGTCTTGTTCAGCGAGTGCCCAAAGATCGATGGTGCTAAAGCTAGGTCGAGAGACACCCCGTGCTATTGCCATAACTTTGAAGTTGTGCGACAACCCTGTGAATGTCACAGTGCACATGTTCAAACAGTTCAAGTCTGCCGTGAAGCGGCGCTTGCACCAGGGTGTTGCGTCGAAGTTGTTGGCACATTCCGACATATTGTACCTGCTGACGCGCAAGGTCGGGGAGCCTCAAGGCGATGGGCGCGATCCAGCATTCAGAGTTGCAGAGCAGCGCCTCTACCATTGTGGCTGGCAGACCCTCAGCAGATCTGACTTCCACGGCTACTTTCTCGAGGTCGCCCTGCGCGACGAGAAGGTTGATGCTGCGGGTGGGCTCCCGTTGGACGAGCTGACGGCCTCAGGCGGTCCGGACTACGACGGCATTTCTACGTGGGAACACTTGCACCAGGTACGTCTGTTGAGCCAATTGGCCAAGTGTGACCATTGGTACGTACGTTTTTTACATTCGATACGAGCCGCCGACAAGTTGCTCGAATGTCCCCGTCCGACGCCACAGTTCACGAGCTTCCCTGCTCGCAGCCCGATCTCCGCGAGATCAAGTTCTGGGACGGACAGGCCGACGTGGATGCCGCCCTTGCCCCGAAGCCGTCGAAGCCGAGGGGTCCTCGGAATCAGCCTCGCCCCCGTCAGCGGGGCCGGAGAAAGAGGTCTGAGCCTTCGCCAATCCTTGACATGAGCGGCGGCGAGGGATATGACAAGACAGACGAATCCCACGAGGACTCCGATGGCGTGCAGTTCCCTACCGCAGATTCGGATGTCAGGGGCCTCGACCACCACCAGGACCTTGGCTCCGATTTTGACCCTGGGGCTCTCGGTGCAGATGGTCGTCCACTGGGAGGCGATGGCGGAGAGGTTGGGCCAGGCACTCCAATTGGCGGCTGCGAGGCGCCAGACGGACGCGCCCTCACCGATGCCTCGCACGACGGGGGGGCGGGCGAGGACGACCTGGACGCGTCGGCGCTGGGCGCTGCACCTGCGGCGCCTCCAGGTGCGAGGCTGCCGTTCAACTTGGGGTGTGAATCGGCATGGGATTCAGTTTGCGCACCGCATTTGCTCGCGCCCGCCCCGCCCCCCCCCCCCCCCCAGCACGCGCCCAGCGCGCGTGCTTCTCCCCCGTCCCGCCTTCGCGAGCCTCTCTGCTAACCAGTTGTCCTCGCTGAGGGGCAATCGCGAGGGGGGTGGGAGGGGCTCGCGGGGGGTGCTGGTCAATGCGGTGCGCAAGCTTTGTTCGAATAGGGTTTGGGCCAGAAACGTGGGGCCTCCTGCCTCCTCCGTCCTGCCCTGCCCCTTCCGTCCTCACCCCGTGCACTCCCGTCCCCTCCCCTCCCTCATCCTCCATCCTCCGCTTCCTCCTTCACGGTTTCCTCCTCGCTATTCTCCTCGGCCCCATCGCCCCCCCCCCCCTGGGTGGAGTTTCGTTGGATTCGGGGGTGGAGGGGCGCGGGTCGCCTTCAAGGTGGCGCAGATTCCCTTGGCGGTGGCGGCGCTGGTCCTGGCGGCGAGGGTGGCCTTGGAGGAGATCCAGGGCCGCCTGGCGGCGGCGCCGAGGGCGCGGGGGCGCCGCCCGCGCCCCCGCCGCCTCCCCTGTACGACGACGACGCCAGCATCCTGGAGATATTGCGGGCTCTCCCTGGAGGCGCCCGTCGTCGAGGGGGGGGGGCGGAGGTGGAGGCCGCGGCCCTGGCCCCCCAGGCGGGCCAGGCTTCGCGCGCTTCCCATTTGGCCCGTGGACAATCAACGAAGTTCAGGCCAGAGGAGACGGCGCGAAGGTAGTGACAGCATTAGCTGGCCATTGTTTAGAGCATGTCGACCCGCTTGCGAGGCACCTCCGGTGTGCGAAATCATGTACTATAAACGCGGGCGTCTCGTGCAATGAGGCTCGCAGGCGGGTCAAGGGTTGGCTCCTGATGGGGCGCGCTTGCGGTTGCGGAGAGAGGCCCGTCCATATGCATTCGCCAGCGTCGCTTGCCGCTCGCGATCCTTTCCCTGATGTGACGGAGGATGAGTTGGATCGACTGGCGAATGAAATCGTCCAGAACCGGCCTCCCGCACCTCCGTGCTGGCGTTGCGGCGCCGACGCGGCGTGCCCCCGTGAGTGAGCCGCCTGGCGCCGCCAGACACATTGGCACCTGAGGCGTTTGGCTTCAGGAAAGCTGCACCGCAAGTTGAGAGTTGAGGAAGTACAAGATCGAGCGCACGAGACGAGACTCACTCCCTGCCTGCTCCTCATTCTCCTCACTATCATTATGCTCCTGC